TGTACCACTTCTCCTCCTACCTTTCACACACAAGCCCCCGTTTTGCTTACTCGTGGGAAAGTCACAAGGACCTTCCCAATTTAGTCTCCATCACCATCGGGAGAAATCCAGTGTCAGCTGTTTCTGACAGGTTGGGGGAAAGTGGCTTTTTTTTAGATTTCCCCCCACCCTCCCTTTTCCACTTGGGTGTTTTTTCTTGCCTTTTTTCTTTTGCCATCTAAAATACATGCAAATCGACAACAGGTGCCTTACACCAACCCCACCAAAGAGATCTCGAGGGAGATCCTTGCAAGAAACATGATGGTCATCAAGGCAGTCCTCCAAGCAAAGCCCAGCAGCCAGAGCAAAGGCAGCATGACTTAATGGTTACCCTTAAGGAGCTTGGGGGATTGGGACACCTGAGTTCTCTGTCCAAGTCATCCAGTCACTTCAGCTGTCATTTATAACAGCTAAATGAACTAAACTAACAGTTTAAAGCCAAGTTACCAGTGATCTTGGAAGGGCATCCACACTTAAGGGGTAGAGATTGAGCACCGTGCCTTCAGTTAAGCTGGTTTGCCTACTGTGCACGTGCATGTGCATGTGTGCGTTCACCTAGTGTGTGTGCATCTGTGCATGTAGACAAGATATAAGTGCCCCTTCTGCACAACAATACCCATTTCAGAGAAAGCCTCAGTTCTCAATTCATGGACCTTTTAGTGGATTTCTCCGAGTAGGACTTTGATGCTGGAGACTCCCCCAGGTTGTCCAGGCTCTGGGTCTAACTGGGGGTGGAAATCATGTTCTACGTGGGCAAGTGGAAGATGAGGACAGATCTCTAATGAACTTACCAAGATGAACAGGCATTCGTTGGCGAATTTCTGATGCTCCTGGATGGTAGAGAAGACGGACAGCACCAAACAACTGAAGACAAGGAGGAATCTGAAACAGCAAATAAACCAGAAAGATTAGCAGACTGATTCATCCGTGCCTTCCAACAAGGCACCTGTCTACCTGAGCCCTGCCATGCACCTAGGAGACCGCCCCCCCACCACCGCTGTGCCTACAGTAGGTGACAACTCCCCAGCATCAGAAACAGCCAAACCTTGGACTGCTTAAAAGTTCACTCTGGAACAACTGGTCATTTGTGATGGGAAGGAGAGTGGACATGGAGAAGGGGTAGTCTGACCATAAAGGCAGAGTACAAGCAGCCCCATCTTGTCAAATCCAACCTCATGAGATACCTGCTAGCTGAATGCCCGGCTGGTACAAGCAACAGCATGTCACCAAAATCCAGTTAGATGCAAGATCAAGTGCTGAAGGGAACCCCTGAATTAGACCAAGGAGAGCTGACACACGCTTTAACTGCTAGCATTGAACAGTAAGAGTGATGGCTGCTAACAGCACAGCCTTTGGAGAAGAGCAGGGGCAAAAGCCATGGCACAATGATCAAAATGTCTTGGTTACAAGGACCACACCACTTTGTCCTGCGTTGATATGACTGGCACCGCACAGATCAAGAGGGTTTTGCCTTCTGCCTTTTCATCTCCGACATAGCGCAGCTTAACTGCCCCTGCTCTCCCAGAAACAAGATGCTGGAACGAGGCTGCCCAGCGTAAGCTCCAGAGCTACCCATGCCCCACTCAGCACGGAGAAAGGGACAGGCTTAAAAATGGATTGGGAAGAGGACACTTCTTCCTTTTAGGGTTGGGAGGGCGGCAGTCCAACTCTAAATGGTGGGACACCTCCACGATAAGCTCCGGGGACAGACACCAGCATTTTGTCCACAACTGGTGCTCCTGGATACGACCGTGATAGACTGATATCACAATCACTTGAGCAGGAGGATGTGACATCTGCCACGGATATACGGGGAACGGGCCCCTGGGAGACTTCCCAACCCTGTGACTTCAGTGGGGTTAAACAAGGTCCAGAGTGAAACTTGTGCATGTCTGAGTCAAACACCATCCAACTATTTGGAAAGTGGGCTGGCGCTGCAGTGGCCAACTGCCACCCCTAGATGGCAGCAGAAAGAAACCCAGGAGCACCCGAGTCAGTGGGCTGCCAAGCGCCCGGGGTGGTGGAAGAGGGACCCATGATGGTCATCATATGAGGAGAGGTTGCTTCTTGTTTCAGAGGGGCTAAGAGAGCCCACGAGATGGCTCAGGAAGGGGGTGCCACCTAGCAGATGTTGCCAGCATGCTGCTGGGCAGCAAGGACTTTCCACGTCCCGGCATATTCTGGGTCCAGCCGGACTTTTTTCTCTTGATCATTCTCCGTGGATCACAGGGATGGAACGAGTCCACCGAGATCAAGTTGAGGGCGGGTTGGGAATAGGACCTGGCACAAGGCACGGCCTTTCTCTTGCTGCCCACCTGGGTGCATTTGACCTGGGGAGCCGGCAGCAAAAGGCCTTAAAGCCCATTACCAACCATCCCTGCTCACTTCCTCTCAAACAACTCATTAGAAAAGACAGTGTCCCTTCCCGCGGGTGCCTGATATTCGCTCCTTATGGAGCATCCCAAACACGGCACAGCTTGCTGGCATCGCAGCATTAAAGGCAGGTGCTTTAATAAGAGATCCAGTGAAGCCATTTCTGAGGAGCTTGCAGGGGTTGGGAGAGGGAGGTCTTTGCCACCGACAGATCTTTTCAGTTTGGGCATAACTCAACTTGTGGCATCCTCCCTGCATGAAACTGCCCCCGGGAGCATTGAAGGGTGGAATTTCCCCCCCTACACCCCAAGGCCCTGGTCCCACAGCCCCAGAGCTCCCATCCCAGCAACACCTCCGTCCATCTCCCTATCCTATAGCCACTTCTCCCCTTCTAGTGGGCAGCGCTGTATTAATTAACACACACCTATTACCATTGCCACTAGGGAGCCATGCTTTGGCCAATGTGCATAGGGAAACCTGGCTCGGGGGCCACATTCAGACTCATCATCACTGTCGAGGCCCCTGGTTTTTCACTGCCTGCCAGCCATGGGAGGGCCAGAGATGCAGCACGAGCTTGAGAACCAAAGCGGCACAACCCTGTGGTTTCTCTGCCCCAACAATGCACCCGAGCTTTTGCCTTCTCGGTAGTTTCCTCAGCAGAACAGCCTGAGCTCTGCGGGGAGAGTCTCTGGCTGCTTCCCCGAAGCCCAGCGCTCCAGCCAGGGGTGCCTTGCTCCAGATCTCAACCTTGCAGCCTGCCCTGGGAGGCAGAAGAACAGTGTCCGCAGAAGGGAGAGGTTGCCCCCAAGCCCCAAAACAGCCTCTTTTTCTAACCCTCACGACCACACTCCCTCCTTCCCCGGACCTGGGGAAAAAACCCGGGCATCCAAACTCCCAGCCCCTTTCTCTAAGTCCTGTGCCACTCCCAAACCTGGGAAGGGAACCCAGGAGTCCCGAGTGTTGCTAGACTTTGCTCCCAGCTGTAAGCTCAGATCGGCTGATGTTGGGCAAAGAGAGGAGGGTCCGCGCCTCGCCCGCTCCCGGGACAGCCTGACGGGAACAGCCGAGGCAGCACCGCACTCGCTGCTCCCGGCAGCTGCTGCAGAAATTGCTGAGTGCAGGCATGGAAATTAAACCAGCCCGTGATCCCCCAGCTTTGGAGAACTCTGAGCTGGGCCGGAGCTTTCAATATTTAATAATGAGAAGCATGGGCAACGTCCCCCTGGGAGGCCCGTGGGAACGCGGCTGCAACACGCTCCTCAACTCTGGCGCTGGGCAAGCAATGGAGCTGGGCAGGGTGAAAACGGGGTGAGCATGGGGGAAGCTGAACTGGCTGCAGCCCTGTCTGTCCTCCTCCTCCTCTAGCCGGTTTCCCTGCAAGATCTCTAAGCCCCTCCTGACCCTCAGGGAAGTTACCTGCAGGCCTTGCAAGCCAAGGGACCGACAGCCCCGGCCTCTTCATTTGCAGATGCTGCTCCTTGCAGAGAACCAGCGCGCTCAGCACAGGTTCAGCAGGCGCCCGCCCTCCCCAAACCCTCGCTCTTCTCCAGCACCCGTCTGGGACTCGGCCAGGCCTCAAGCCTGTGGTTTCCACCCAGGATGCCACACAGCACCGCGTTTGGACCGCTGCGGTCTGAGATCTTTGCGAGAGAAGAATTGCTTTGTTATTTTTCCATAGTCGAGAAACGAGCGCAAGAGAGCTGGCATCTTCGGGAGGGGGGGGCTGGAGTTTAAAGGAGGTTGAGCAAACTGCACAGAAAAACTTTTTGAGTTCTCTCCCCCTGTAAACCGCTCGATGCCCAACCAGGTCCAGCCAGAGCCGCATCCCAAAGCACTGGGATTCAATCGTGCCCCTCTCCCCTGCACAGACAGCCCCACCGCTTGTAAGACAGGCACCAACCCAGGTGGAAAACTCCAGCGGGTTTTCAAAGCACCGACCTAGGGAAGGGGTGATGCACCCCAGCGGGGAGTAATATCCCTCCTCTCGGTCACTGACTCAGCTTCAGGAGACTCTTCCAGAAGGGCGCAAAGGTGAGCACAGCCTCGGGCGATAAATCCCACCCCATCCCCACCGCGCCTGTAAGTCGCTTGGCACTGCCAGGCTCCTAGAAGGCACGGGGCACCTTTCCTCTCTGGGAAAGGCAGATTTAAGACGGGGTTTATTGCCTTGAGTTACGGCTCTTGGAGGCGAGTCAGGCAGCAGGTTTAAAAAAGGGATGAGACGGAGAAAGAGAGAGCAAGCAAGCCTGGTGCTGGGCAGGAAGGTCAGAAGGCTCCTCTCTGGCTCCGGGGTCCTGGTGCCCAATGCACCACCCCCAGTGGTGTTAGAGGTGCATGGACCCCAGCCAGGACCTGGTGCCTAAACCTCCTCAGCCTCTGAGCTCTGGGAACCTCGCCCCCGCCAGCTCTGAGCTCTCAGGCTCAGCTAAAGGCACGAATAAAGAGCGCAGGAGGCCGAGGAGGGGGTGCTGGGGGAGCCCCACGATTCCCATATGTCCTGGAGTGAGCCTGAAGAGCAGAGCCCCCTCTTTACCGATGCCAGCTGATTTTTCTCAATCGCCTACATGGTGCGGGGAGGAGAGGAGACACCACCTGCCCCCTACCCTTGCCCTCCCAGCCCCTTAGTAGGGGCACGGAGCAGCTCAGCAGCACGTCCCCACGTGTCCCGAGCGTCGAGGTGGGGAGCGAGCGGCCAGCATCTGTGCCTCTCTCTGACAACCCGAGTCGAGCCCGTGCGTCAAGCCGAGCCGCCCTAACCTTATTTTGTCCATTTCCCTTCCCCGGTGCACATCAGATGGCGCCTAATGGGGACTGGAGATGCCCGGCGGCAAAGCCCCAGCTCTCCTCCCCTCCATGCCTGCGGGTGCCGCTGGAGAGAAATGTTTAATAGTAATAATAGAAAGGGAAGAGAAGCATTAACGGGATCTAAACTCTCCCATGCCGGTGCAAGATGATTCCCTACAGGCTAGTTACGCAGCCCCTGCAGCATGTTCCCATGCAAATGTCCTCGCTAATGAAACCAGGGGAAGAGACCGAAACCCCAGAGCAAACAAACAGAGCCGGGGCTGGGGAGAGGTCTCGCACGAGGCTTGAAAAGCTCCCCCCTCCCCACCCTGGCAAGGGGAATCGGCTCTCAACACAGCGCGCTTGGCGGGGTCCGGCCACACAGCTCACCCCGGGCTGCTGGGAGGCCAGGTGCCCTGGTGACTCCTGAGATGCTCTTCCAACAAGGGGCTTTGGCCCATTTAAAATAAGAAGGGAGAGAGGGGAAAGGAAAGGAAGGAAAAAAAAAAAAAAAAAGAGAGAGCGAGAGAAAAAGTTGAATGCGGAGACGAGGCAAGTGGAACTCTCCAAAAATACACTTTTTCCCCTGATCCAGCGATTCTAAATCGGGAAAGCCAAGTCACTCGTGCCACCGGCTCACGTGATGCCATACAAAGGGCCATCTATCTGCGGGAGCCGGGCTTGCGTAACTGCACGGGGGGGTACCGTGCGCCTGGAGAGGGCAG